TGAAATATTATTACCATTTAAAATAACATTTTTTTATTCGAATATTTTTTTAAATGTAATTTATTTCTGTAAAGCAAAGCTGAGTTTTCAGCATTATTACTCCAGTCTTCAGTGTCACATAATCATTCTAATATGTTGATTTGATGCTCAATAAACATTTCTTATTATTATCAATGTTGAAAACTGCTTAATATTCAAATATATAATGTTTTAGCGACAAACATGTCACATGTTAGTCTCAAAAAAATAAAAAAAATAAAAGTATTTAAAACTCACCCTGACTTCCATGTTTGGTATACAGAGCAGGCCTATCAAAGACTGGACCCCTGAGTTCCCTGATTTACACAGGTTGATAATACCTATAGGAGAACAGCAGAATAGAGGGATGAAGAGCAGAAGTGGAGAGCGTTTCCCTTTTCTACTCTTTAGATGAAGATGCAGTAGATTTTATACCTGACCACGAGCGGAAGGCTGCAATGATGGCCATTTTACTGGCTAAAAAACGAGCTTCTCTGTCCTCCCTATGGAGCACAACGATTCATAAAAAAAAGTTACTGTCCGAAATGCACATGATTACAATGCATTACAGGTAAATGAGGTAATGGCACAGAAAAATATGTATGTGTGTGTGTCTCTGTGTGTGTATATATTAGTGCTGTCAAATGTCTAATCGCGATTAATCGCATCCAAAATAAAGGTTTTTGTTTACATAATATATTTATGTGTACTGTGTTTATTTATTATGTATATATAAATATTTTGAAAATATTTACATGTATATACATTTATATTATTATATTTTATATAAATATATAAACATAACATATTTTTCTTAAATATATACATGCATGTGTTTGTATTTATATATACATAATAAATATACACAGTACACACTTATATTTTATGTAAACAAAAACTGGATGCGATTAATTGTTTGACAGCACTAATATATGCTATTAGAGTGTTTATTAATTGTCTGAATAAGCTTTGTTTTTCATTTTAATTTTAGCAATTTTATGTGATTGTCTTTTTTTAATTTTGTTTCTATTTAGCTTTAATTTTTATTTCAGTTTTAGTAAACATTTTTTGTACTTCAGCGTAAACTTATTTTATTTAATTTAGCTGCCAAGGCAACGTTTAAAATTGTTTTGTTTTTTTAAGTATATATAATAACTAAATTGAATCAAGATTGAGCTGAATAACAACTCTACTGTCTTCTGTAGAGCTGCTTTACAACTGAAATTGAAGTTGTTTCATATTTGATGAACTCTGCATAATTAACACCAGTTTATTAAAATATTAATGCTGACGCTGCTGATTTATGCTTCACGTTGTACCTAAAATTTGAGCTATTTTAGTATTATTTATATACTATTAAAGTGTTTATTAATTGTCTGAATATGCTTTGTTTTTTATTTTAATTTTAACAATTTTATGTGACTTTGTCGGGTTTTTTTTTTCTCTCTATTTAGCTTTAATTAATTTTTCAGTTTTAGTAAACATTTTTTGTACTTCAGCTTAAACTTATTTCATTTAGTTGCCAAGGCAACATTTCAATTTTTATTTTTTAAAGTATATATAATAACGGAATTGAATCGAGATTGAGCTGAATAACGACACCACTGTCTTCCGTAGAGCCGCTCGCAGCTGAATTTGAAGTCATTTCATAGTTGATGAATTCTGAAAAATTCACACGTTATTGTCCTGTTCATTACTGCTTTGGAAACAATCTGCATTGTATAAAGCGCTAAACAACTAAATAAGACAACAGAATGAAAACCTTTCAGTATTCAGAATACTAAACACATGGAAACATACTGACAGAGATCCGTCTGAGAGGAAGCTGTCTGTGATGCATGCTTACCTTTTTAAACAGCATGACGTATCTGCTCTCTTCATCTTCACCGAAGGAAAAGGACGCGAGTCCAGCCACCTCGGCCACATCATGCCTAAGAGACAGAGGCGTTAGCACACCGGAAAACTGTAGTAGTCCTGCTGGACTTTCAAAAGTATGAGAAATATGTAAAGTTCACGGCATAAACTCTTTAAAATACGTCCAAGAGTATTACACACAGGTCTGTTATTGTGGGGACATTTCCACGCCCCGCCCCTAAACATGACGCGACGGCACAAAACGAAACGTGATTGGCTGCTTTACCTGTCAGTCATATTGTGTGGTCTTGGCCATTCAAAGCAGCCAAGACCACACCGAAGGTCTGGCTATGCGAGACTACAGTTAACTAGAACTAAAACCATTAAAAAATGTATGACTTGCAATTAAAGAAAGTAAGAGACAGAGGCGTTAGCACACTGGAAAACTGTAGTAGTCCTGCTGGACTTTCAAAAGTATGAGAAATATGTAAAGTTCACGGCATAGACTCTTTAAAATACGTCCAAGAGTATTACACACCGGTCTGTTATTGTGGGGACATTTCCACGCCCCGCCCCTAAACATGACGCGACGGCACAAAACGAAACGTGATTGGCTGCTTTACCTGTCAGTCATATTGTGTGGTCTTGGCCATTCAAAGCAGCCAAGACCACACCGAAGGTCTGGCTATGCGAGACTACAGTTAACTAGAACTAAAACCATTAAAAAATGTATGACTTGCAATTAAAGAAAGACAGCGCTGAACTCACAAGATGCTTCTCTCGATCTTGCCCATGGGCTCATATCTCCTCTTCTGCAGATTGCTGTCCTGAATGAAGTCTGACACCGTCTTCTCCATCTGACGGAAAAACACATTCATGTTCATAAACCAAAGCTCACAGGATCCAGTTTATGTGAGACCGAGAGAGACGCAGTTATACCTTTTTCCTAAACTCTGCTTTCTTTCTCTTCTCATCCTCCTCGATCTTCTTCAGTCTGGCTGCTTGTTCTGCACATTGATGAATCAGAATATATCATAACATTAAATTTATTACGCAGCACATGTATGTGAACTGTCAGTGAAACATTAAATAAATACGTTATTAAACACTGGCATTGTTTATGACCGTTTATTGTCGTTTTGAAAGTCGCTTTGCAGAAAGGCATGTGTGTGTACACGAAGCGCGGCATATTTCTGAAGCAAATGAATAAATTAAATGTATAAACAGATCTAAACAAACCAATTCTGACGTCGAGAGGATTTTCAACGGCAGACGTGCGGAGCGATGACGTGTGCACGCACAGCGATTGTTTCTCGGGCGCTGATTGGTTGTTTGATCACAGCGTTAGCGCTCGGATATTTCTCACGTTTCCCTCGGAACTCTACAAACAAGCTCGTGCTCGTCTTCTAGACGGTAAGGAAGTGCATTCGTAGGGTTAAAGCTTTCTACCTCTAGCTTTCCGTCGGCTTTCTTGGTCGTGAACGGTTGGAGGCTTTTCCATCGAGCTCAAGATCGAGCCCAGGAGGTCCGCCATCTTTGGACTGTCTAATTTTTCACCGGAAGCTCGCTTGGCATTATGGGTAATGTGGTCCAAACGCTGCAGTGACGTCATTGGTTTAATCCGCTCAAATGTAAAGAAACTACAGGCGTACGATTATCAACAAAGAATTGTTTTTGCACACAGGCTTTATCATCACTTTGGATTCAGTAAAGTATTAATTATATGGCCTCTACAGCGGTTACACCAGTTTCGTAAATTAATAATTGCCCATTAATACTACAACTAAACTTGCACAAAACTGCTTTGGATGTGATGCATATTATGTGTATTGATAATTTTGTGATTCATATCCAGTGTTTAGTTTATTCTGGAATGGTCATTTATTTTCAGTTTCTCATATTGTTTTACCAACAAGTAATATTTGACCAATTATATCACTTTGTTACTTCTTTTTGGTGCATACAGACAAACCATTGCTTTAAAAGTTGAAACCTGAAACCAAGCAGCACAACTACAAATATAACAATTTAATTATCATGTTTTCAGGTTACCTCGTTTAAAACGGTTTCATTTAATGGACGAGTTTTAGTCAGATTGCATAATTTGCGCTTGTTTGTTGTTCCTGCGTAGCAAGCAAATGAGAAACACCACAATGGCCTTTTTTTTTTTTTTTAATAGCTTCTTTACTTCAAGAAAGCCACAACCGCGGGATTTCTTTTTATATAAAAAGCTGGGCTCTTTGTTGGATACTGCTCTTCATTAAAAAATCTAAGATACTACACCTTAGATATACTAGGAAGGAAATATCAAGTTGTGTCTAGTTACTTTCATAGCTCCTCAGACCAGAAAATGACTGCTCAAATACCTCGTTACATCATTTAATACATCACAACAAGCCGTCTGGTGTAGTGTTGGCCTTCACACACACCACATTATCTTCCTTACAACACAGTTTCCAGTTAAGTGTGCTCAACGTTAGCAAACATCCCCAAAATGAGAGTAGAATTACATAAATATCATTCAAAACTACAAGGGACATGAGCGTTGTGAATCCCTTCATTCAATACAATTTACAGTTTAGCTAATCAGTCTGTGCAACATAAGAGTCCACATTGTCTTGAGTTACAAACACAGCAAAGGGTCACAATCTAGGAGTCGAGGAAATAGATCTTGTAGAATTTGTTCATCTGCTCCAGGAAGATGAAGGTGAGAACTGTGTGTGGCCCGAGACGAGCGTAATACGGAGTAAAACCCTTCCACAGACTGAAGAAGCCTTCCTTCCTTATGACCTTCACCAACACATCCTACAGAAAGGGAAAGAGAGAGTGAAGAACGATGAGAGTAAGGGTGGATGTGTCAAAGTCGTGGAAAAAGAACAGAAAGGGGGTCCGTTCTTCGTACGTCGCTTATTACATCCGAGATGAAACGTCACATCCAAGATGATATCATCGCGCTAATCAGGATCTGGCTAATTCGGTTCTTCGAACGCAGCTGTTGTTGATGATTAGTATGGCTGGATTGAGTTATCTGAGATAATTGCGCGTTCATGGGTTGGTTTAAAAGGGGCTATGTATCGATACTCGAAACCACGATCAACAATGCAGCGATTAGCTGGCGGCAAGACAACAACGTAATGACATCATATAATAAAAAAAACACCTGACGAAAAACTTGACTTTAGTTAAAGTTCTAGTCATTTTGTTGTGTGTTTTGTCATTTTTATTCGTTTTTGTTGTTTTTAAATATGCCTATGTAGTTTTTCTTAATTGTTATTTCAGTTTTAGTTATTTAGTATTAAGTTATAAACTAAATGAAAAAGAAATGTTGCCTTGGAAACTAGCTGAAAAAAAAAAAAAAAATATATATATATATATATTTTATTTAAGTTAAAGTGCCCCTATTATGCCATTTTTAGGTTTCCTTATATTGTTAGGTCAAACAACGCTTTCGTTTTCTCAAAATATGCATTTAATATCCCCTCATTTTACTCTGCTCTGATTGGTCAGATGGCCCAGTCTGTTGTGATTGGTCTACCGGAAACAATACGGCCATTGCCACAGTTACGTATTTTGAACGCTCGATAGAAATGATACACATCTATTATTTATCATGCACACAGGTTGTGATTCAGTGGAGTCAGCTGGTCCAAATAAACGGAGTACTGAATCAACACAAGTGTGTATTCTTTAGCAAAGCAGCATTATGCGTATTTCCATGCTGTTGTCACAATTGTCCTGCACATGGAGGAAAAAACCTCCTGTGAAATCATGCAGGGACTGATTATTGCACAAGTATATTTACACTTTACTTAGCATGTTATGCAACATACCATACCATGCCATCCCAACAATACTGTTGGTGCACTAAAACCTGCAACCCAGCGCAAATCAACTGTTCAGTGTGTCTCTGGGTTTCTCCAGAGATAACTTGATCCATTTCTAAGAGATTGAGTATAAATGAGATGAAAACTTACCAAACCATTCCTGTACTCCGGCTTCCCATCAATCATTCTCATGTTCTGGATTCTTTTGAAAGAAGGAGATATATGTCGGCATTAAAAATTCAACACCATTTCCACAGAATCAGCAGAAAGACCTTTAATGTTTTAAATCTTCTGTCTTTAAGTCAGGTGCTATTTAATGCGTGATTCATTTGTTATGTTTGATCTTATATTCTGGTTTGCATCCAATTGTTCTTGATGTGAACGGGACTCTACTGTGATATAAATGTATCATTTCACATTTATAGACTGTATTTTGTGATACATTTATCAGCCACCTTTCTCTCTACATACGAGTAGCAGTATCGTGCATTAAAAAACCAACTTAGCATGTACAGGTGCATCTCAATAAATTAGAATGTCGTGGAAAAGGTCATTTATTTCAGTAATTCAACTCAACGTGCTCATAAAAAGTGCTCCTCACGGCTCAGGGGGATAATATTATGTTTATAAAGTTTTAAATATGGATATTTTTCTTACACAAACGCAAACAACAGAACATAAGGATTCACACATGGTCATCATATCACATCACGCAAATGCAGCGCTTCTGCTAGCGGAGAAAAACAAAGCTAGGCTATATATATCATTAACCTGTAGTAAAAAAAATACTACAGAATATTCAATAATCATAGTGATAGTCTTCACTGTATGAATTAAATATAATTTGATTAAAGATACAGAAGTTATTAAAGAGCAGCAAGTGATTTTCTCTTTGTCTTCGGTTGTTTGATTAACATTAATGACACAGACAGCAGCAGGTTTATTGGGCTGCTGTCCCTTTAAGACCGAATGCACGGATCTAATATACTGAGTTTTCTGTCAACTGTTCATGTTCACTTCAGACATAACCAGCTGTTGAATGCTGTGAATACTACACACAATGGGCATTTTGGCATAAATGTGTGTGTATTTGACCAACTCTTTTTAACATCATGCACGTCCCGCTCTTCATTTTCTCATTCAAGCATGTTTCTTTATCACTTTAAAGTGTCAATAACTAAGTAGCACTGTGCTAAACTAATATATTTACTAGGGCTGTCACGATTCCTCGATTATAAAAAATCCTGGATTGCGTTGTGTGTCAATTAACCGGCAAAATACCGGAAGTGGCGCATTTCACGGATGAGAATCCACGAAACGCATTATTAGATCATTTTCTAAGGCTACACGAAATATTAAAACCATTTACAAATCATAATAAAGCATAGTGCTATTATGAATTCACAAAGGCTGTGATTCAATTCAACCCTCTACATTGCGAGTAAGAGCGAGAGTCTTGCATACCACGCTGAATCGACGCACTACATGTAAACCATATTCTTTGTTGTATTTTCCTGTCAAAATAACAGAGTTCATTTAGAATTATTCAGCTTTTAAGAACAAACAGAAGATATGCCGGTTTTTAGGCAGTGGGCGGAGCTAATGCGCGATCTATCTATTACCGTCCCCGTTTGATTTCAGCAAATCAGTTCGAGCGAACGCTGACAACGTGATTAATATTCATGAACCCAGCAGATAATAGTAGTAGTAGTAGTATCTTTTAATAATAATTACTATTACCTATGACCAACAATATCTTAAACACCACCACCAGTCCTAAGTTCAGTTAAAAATTACAAATATGCATTCATTCATGGTTACCAAGTTTTAGTTCTAATCACTAGTTCTATCATTAAATAGTGCTTAATTATCATAATATAATGCGTGATTGGCTGAAGTTAAGAGTGCACATTCAGTTATTTAAGAAGCTGTTCCATTTTACAAAGATAAGCTGATTGGGTGGAATCATGTGTGTGTGTATGTGTGTGTCTGTGTAAAATAGTACATCAGTCTGGCGAGTAAACAAAAAAATTTACTAGCCAATGGCGATTATATTGCCAAGGTGTGCGTAGAGGGTTGCAATGAAATAAACATATGCGCTGCGGGTTTAATCTGTGCTTATTTTCTATGCGTGTCGGTCGCGGCTCGGTTCACAGTAAACGCTGCTCCGCACAAACAGTCATTATTTACATACATCTCTGCATATGCTGTGAGTCGGAGTATAACGTTCATCTGAGAACATGTGCACCATTCTGTCAGATTTATAAGGTGGATCATTTAGAAACCTGCGCCAACACAGGAGAATACATCATTATTTTTCTAAATATGTGAACTGTTCATCGCGACTTCAAAACAAAAGTTTAACCCTCGCTCTGAGTTTGCATGTTCTGATGTAAACATATTCAAGAAATTACAGCGGCTGTAGCATTTCTATTATAAAGAAGTGGCCAAATATTAAAGATTAAGAGGACATTTGAATTAAATGTTGTTTAGTCAATATTAAACAAGGATTTTATCGTGCTGTAAAGTGTAAAAACAATCGTCAGGCCGTCGGCGCCTCTGCAGTCACTTGATATTATACATAAAGTACATAAGTTATGATTATATTGTTTTATTACATTATGCATTTTAACTGTTTTGTTCAATAAAATCATATGACTACTTGCTTTTGAAATAGTTTATTTGAACCAATTATTATTGCCTCACATGCATGCATTTTCAGTCATTTTAAAATCTATTGTTCGCTTATCCCAAAATTATCCGATTGCTCGATTAATCATCAGAATAATCAACCGATTACTCGATTGCCAAAATAATCGTTAGTGACAGCCCTAATATTTACATGTCACGTCATAAATTACATTACAAAATCTCTAACAACAGACACTTTATATCATCACATTGATATATCATCATACCTCCCTATGTCATAATTGATTGTCTAGTAATAAATCACAAGAGTTAAAACTGAGTGTACCTGGTCTTAACGATGTCTACTGGCATGGAGGCAGCAGTGGTGACCAGTCCACTGATCATACTGGCACAGAAGTGACACAAGATATCATCTCTGAAATATCCTGTACAGACACAGAACATTGCAGCACATTTCAGTTTTCAACTCACTCATTCAGAAGAACACACACACAATGAAACGTCTGCACGTAACAGGGCACACAAATAAAAGCTAGCCTCCATCCGCATCTGGCATAGCTAGATTGTCTAGAAGGGCTGACACAGTACAAGTTTGTGACTGATAAGATAAAAGAAGGTTGATACCAGAGTCCAACAGTGCTTGTTTGGACTGGGAATATGAAGCAAGTTGGGCTGCGTTCACAACGACTGCTCTGGCCATGGTGGGTATGTAACCCTACATTCACAATAAAACAAAACACACACATCATTACATATACAAAGGGTTTCTGCAGGTTTGATGAAGGTCAATTCAAGACTTTTTAAGACAAAGTGTTTAGTTGAGTAATATTAGCAACACTTAAAAGTCTGAAAATACAACTCTTCCTATAAATCTTCATTACTTTTAAAATTAATTTTACATAAAAACAATAGCTTAAGCTTGGATACCTCTGCTCACAAGCACCTTCTGAACAGTGCTTCCTTTTTTGTTCTCTTGTCTTGAAGTTCAAAGGTCTAAAGATTCATTTATCAAGATACTTGACAAACAACGTGACATAAGATATGAAGTCTTGTTTTCTGAGAAACGAAACGAAATTAACTGAGTTCATGCTTAACACAAGAACAAATATCTGTCAATGGGGTATGACTTAGCAGATATTACATAAGTTATGATTATATTGTTTTATTACATTATGCATTTTAACTGTTTTGTTCAATAAAATCATATGACTACTTGCTTTTGAAATAGTTTATTTGAACCAATTATTATTGCCTCATTGCTATTATGCATGCATTTTCAGTCATTTTAAAATCTATTGTTCGCTTATCCCAAAATTATCCGATTGCTCAATTAATCATCAGAATAATCAACCGATTACTCGATTGCCAAAATAATCGTTAGTGACAGCCCTAATATTTACATGTCACGTCATAAATTACATTACAAAATCTCTAACGACAGACACTTTATATCATCACATTGATATATCATCATACCTCCCTATGTCATAATTGATTGTCTAGTAATAAATCACAAGAGTTAAAACTGAGTGTACCTGGTCTTAACGATGTCTACTGGCATGGAGGCAGCAGTGGTGACCAGTCCACTGATCATACTGGCACAGAAGTGACACAAGATATCATCTCTGAAATATCCTGTACAGACACAGAACATTGCAGCACATTTCAGTTTTCAACTCACTCATTCAGAAGAACACACACACAATGAAACGTCTGCACGTAACAGGGCACACAAATAAAAGCTAGCCTCCATCCGCATCTGGCATAGCTAGATTGTCTAGAAGGGCTGACACAGTACAAGTTTGTGACTGATAAGATAAAAGAAGGTTGATACCAGAGTCCAACAGTGCTTGTTTGGACTGGGAATATGAAGCAAGTTGGGCTGCGTTCACAACGACTGCTCTGGCCATGGTGGGTATGCAACCCTACATTCACAATAAAACAAAACACACACATCATTACATATACAAAGGGTTTCTGCAGGTTTGATGAAGGTCAATTCAAGACTTTTTAAGACAAAGTGTTTAGTTGAGTAATATTAGCAACACTTAAAAGTCTGAAAATACAACTCTTCCTATAAATCTTCATTACTTTTAAAATTAATTTTACATAAAAACAATAGCTTAAGCTTGGATACCTCTGCTCACAAGCACCTTCTGAACAGTGCTTCCTTTTTTGTTCTCTTGTCTTGAAGTTCAAAGGTCTAAAGATTCATTTATCAAGATACTTGACAAACAACGTGACATAAGATATGAAGTCTTGTTTTCTGAGAAATTGAACAAAATGAAGATTAAATCGGGAACAAATATCTGCTAAGTCATACCCCATTGACAGATATTTGTTCTTGTGTTAAGCATGAACTCAGTTAATTTCGTTTCGTTTCTCAGAAAACAAGACTTCATATCTTCATTTTGCATTTTAAGTAAATGTATTTTGATTTAAGGACGTTTAGATATTTTTACTGGAAAACAAGACAAAAATACTGAAGGAAATTTAATTTTTTTTAAGTGAATGCAATGTTTAATGCCATGACTTTATGAATTTAAGACTTCCGGCTCTGATTTAAGACCTTGTAAGGCCTTAATTTGTGCAAGGGTACATTAAGACCCTTTTAGGAACCGCAAAAACCCTGCATATGGTTTCTGAATAAGTCAAACATACAGAAAAAACTCAAGGAACAGTTAGGAACACATTGTCACATAAACAGTCATCAGGTTAGTTCCCTAATTTAAGCCTCTTGAACTTATGAGTCTGAAACTGAATCGTGAGTCTTTGACAATTTTTGACATTGATCTAGAACATCTAGAACAGACATAAGGCAAAATAATCACTAAGTAAAGGTGTAACAAAATGTCTCTAGAATAGACATATGGCAGAAAAAATAAAAATCCCGTGTCCAGGGATTTTTTTTGCCATGCATTGGTCATAGAGCTCGATTTGTTGCGAACTAGATTTGTTGCGCCAAGTTCACACGTACTCCGTCTGCAGTGCGTATACAGTATGTGTATGCGGTGCAGAAGCAGAAATTTCCGTGCCAATCCATGTTATTTTTTACTGCGAATAATGCGCTGTCACTTTCAGCGCATGCAGCACAGAAGAAATAGACTCCGTGCGGAAACGATCGCTGCATGACTGCTGCAGATGCACCGCTCCTGGAGCGCACTGCCGGACCGCAATCACGTGCAGTGTGAACGCTCTGATCCGTTAACATGGGCGCGGAAAAAATACGCACCACAGACGGAGTGTGTGAACCTGGCATTACGTTTGTATGCCCGCCCGGTCTGTTCTGTTCTCGTGCTCCATTTAGGCGCGCTGCATTCTGATTGGTTCGGATAGCATACTGCACACTCAAACACACATACACACACCTCACACTCTCACATACACACACATACACACTCTTACACACACACACACATACCCTCCAGAGTGTGGTGACTCCCTCCTCTCTAGTGATTCTGATGAGGGCATTGAAGACATTTGTGTAGCCCCTCCTTTGATCTGGAGGCAACCTGGACAAGCAAGAGATAATGGAGGAGCGATATTTTATTAATGGTTTCATTATTTTAATAGCGAAACAAGATGATGATGATCATGAAGATTTTAATATTTTAACACAATCAAATATTAAAAAGTGCTATTTTAGTATGATTTAAATAATGTTATTTAAATTGAAATTTAAAAATAAAAACGGATTCATTTTAATTTTAGTTTATGTAATTTTGTTATGTGCTATTAGTTTTTTTCATATTTCTATTTAGCTTTAATTTACTTTTAATTTCAGGTTTAGTTTTAGTAATTCAGTACTTTAAATTAAAACGGTAGGAAGTCAAAATTTATAATTTTCTTACGTTTTTGTATTTTTCATTTTTTTATCTAATATTTATGTTTAATTTTAGATTTAAATTAACAAACCAATTTTTAATAGTTTTATTTACCAAAAACAATATATATATATTTTTAATTTGAATGTTATTCATAACATTACTAGCATATTTATGCATATTACTAGAATACTGGCTTTTTTTAGTACTTATAAAGCACATATTAAAGCCTTATTCTGCATGAGCATATTTTAGATCCATTAATCCGACCCATACCTAAACTTAACAACTACCTTCAGTGGCGTAAGTTTGTCTTAAAAAGTGGTGGGGACGGGGGGAGGTTACATCTGCTTTAAATATTACATAATAAATTATACAATTAAAAATATTATTATCTACAAATTATTTAACTTATTGCAAAAATAAATATAATATTCAAGCGCTTTTATGACAGATAAGTAACCAGTGCATGAAATAGTCATTTCATTGCATGCTGATTCCCTTTACGGGATAAAAAATATTTTCTTTGTGCTCAGACTCTGTATAACACAATTTAATGCAGAATTTTCACAGCCAAGCAATCCTCGCCGCAGGCCTGGTTTTACAGAGGTGCTAGAGGAAGCATGCTCAAGCTGAAGCTGTAATAATAACATATTAGCCGAACAGATTTGGCAAACGAGCAGCGCCGGTGAGCATTTGTGTTTGCGCTCCGGAGAGCATCAAAGGTTTCTATTTCCAATGTGTTTTGCCTTGAGTAATAAATGCAAGCGTTCACAGACATATCAGTTTAATTTCATGAATGCAGTGGAAAAGCATCGCTCAAAATGCCTCTGATGTTGTGCAGTGCCGAGTTCTGCGCACTCGCGAATCCTCTTATTACAACAAACAAAGTGTAAACATGCTGTAAATAAGAGATTCATTTCGCAGTGTAGAGAGATTCGTTGATTTTAACTGAACTTCTTCGTAAGATCTCAACACAAAAACCTAGTGTTTCACGAGTCTAAAAGGACACGTCTTCAGAATTATCCCATGACTGTCCTGAAGCAGCAGTGTTTGGTTAATTTGGTCACTTTCGGGAAACAATGTGTGAGAAAGTCAAATGTGACCCTGGAGCACAAAAGCAGTCATAAGTAGTGTATTTGTTATGCTGTATATCTCAATTTCATAAATTTGACCCTTATGACTGGTTTTGTGGTCCAGGGTCACAATATGGGGTGTAATTCTATCCTTCTACCTTCCATCAGCCGTCATTCGAATAAGCGCCACCTCGGCCGGAGTCCCAATGAAGGCCCCTGTGGCCCCGGCGGTCATCCCGATGAGAGCCTTCATGAAGAAGTTGGGAGGTGTGCCATCAGCTTTGGACATGCGCTCAAACAGGACAGTGTAGATGCCCAAACGGGTCGTGGTGTAGGTAGCCTGTCTCAACAGACCCGCAGAAAGTCTGAAGAACACGGGACAGAAAAAGACAAAGGTGTGAATGCAATAAACGCGCAGCGAGACAAGAATGAGATGTTTGATCGGATATTTACTGCTTGGCTCCATCTACAGTCACTCAGTAAGGAAGTCCAGCTAGAGCTCCCTAGTCTCTCACATCCAGTGTCTGGTACAATTAATCTTAGAAAAACAAAAAAAGCATTCATTCAGTAATTCATTGAACTGCAGTAGCCTTCTGAAACCTCTAAGCTCTCTATCTAATCTCTCTTGTTGGCTTGCGTCTCGTTGAGCCTGTCTTTCGTACCCGGTGTAGATCCCGCCGATGCCCTCGTTGCGAAGGATGCTGGCCACGGCGTGGAAGCTGGTCTTGTACTCGCGAGCCTTGGAGCCCTGACCGCTCAGCTGCATTCGGTTCTTCACCAGATCCAGCGGCTGCACAAACACCGTGGCACCCATCCTGGAAGTCAGGACGAATGTGCATTAGCTTAATCACTTTTTACTTTAAAGTCCTAGTCCGGAAGGAATTCGTATTAGCAGCAGAGTTTGGAAACAATCCTAAAGAAACCTACATAAATAAAAAAAAAATCACTCAGAAATTGCTTGTAAATTTCACAAATGTGTCCCTGGAGCACAAAAGCAGTGTTAAGTCGCTGGGATAATCTTTATTCACAACTTCTCCCCAACATCTCCCCTAAAACTTCCCTATCATAAACTTTCAGAAGAATCATAAAAAGTTGTCATAAAATCCTGTAGGAATGTCAGTTTATCCAGTATGACCGTAACTGTTTTCATTAAATGTTCCCTCCTGGTGGAATGACCTGCCCAAATCAATCCGAGCAGCTGAGTCCTTAACCATCCTCAAGAAACTACTAAAAACACAACTGTTCCACCTTTATTTGACCCTCTAACTCTAGCACTTTCTATTTTATTGTAATTCTATTTTATCTTTTTTTTTTTAAATAACAACAAAAAACAAACTAACACTAGCTTTCTATTTTTTCTATTCTATCTACTTGTTTTTCTTTGTGTGCGTGTGTGTGTGTATAATATATATATGTATGTGTGTGTGTATGTATATATGTATGTGTATGTGTGTGTGTGTATGTATTTGTATATATATACACACCTTGCTACGTGTACTGTGTTAGGCTAACCGAGACTTGTCATTTACACTTATATATTGTTGCTCTTTTGTTAGTTTTGACTGCTTTTATTGTCCTCATTTGTAAGTCGCTTTGGATAAAAGCGTCTGCTAAATGCCTAAATAAATAAATAAAAACTAGAATACTTATTTAATCCCATCTATTTCCAGATAATGACTGGAATGTATTATGATATTATAATTTCAACAGGGTTGCTGCAAACATCCTTTGAGAATGTTTTGACTGAGGAACACAAATGAATGCTCTTCTAAACTAGTGCATTTATGGTGACTTTGGCTCAATTTAAACTCATGTAAGGGTATTATGCCTTTAACATCTACACGCAAGGACAACCTGTTTATGAAACAGCACTGATTTACAGGTCTTGAGTGCTGTCTTACATTTGTCAGAATTATTAGTATATATATATATATATATTTTTTTTTTAATTCTGTCATTTTTGTGTTTTCAGCAAATGCCAGCTGCTCATCCTGTAATGGAAATGGCATTTCATGATAAATCAGACTTTGTCTTACTAAAGCTAATTTTATAGTTATGATTTAAATCTTTTAAATGAAATCATATGGACCGTTTTCACATTTCCAGGCTTCTCAGAAGCACAAGTCATCCTAGAAAACTTCTGTAGTGGTGAATGGGAGACCATAGCATTTTTATATTGTGTGCCCATTCACTCCAAAAGCACAAGAACAACCCACTATTGTGTTTGCGTCACTTATAGAAAGATCAAGAAAAGCTGATTACAGAAGTCAGAAGAGAGAAAGATCTCAAATTTATTGCCAGTCTATCTTAGAAAGCTAATCGCAAATGTGTCTTTTGTAATTAAATGTTAATCACACAAAGTACAGTACAGTAAAAAGTGTAAAATGGTATATTTATGTAATATGTAAAATAAGTAAAAGTGCTATATTTATTATATTTATTATAGTGGAACTGCATCAACAACATAGTCTGTGATTTTCAAATTTTTTTTTTTTAGATAATTTGACCCCAAAAAAGTTGCAAATGTGTTCACAAGTGATATAAACCTTCAATTTCCTGTTCATTTTATTTTTATTATTATTACATATATTTCATCTCAGCATGCTCTTCACTGAACCTGTCACTGAAAAAAAAACACACACAATTTATATATATATATATACAGAAAACACATGAATAGGCAAAAACAACTGATTTATTCTTTTTTTTTTTAATCATCAATAAATTTTTAGGTTTCAGGCTGTTTTTACCCAAACTTTGTACAAAGAAGATTCTCAACTGTGTTATGAAAGATATAACAGAATGATTTGATATGCTACTGCATTTTATGGAATATGTGCGTAAAATCGCCATAAATTGATATTCCCATTTTATTCAATGTATCTATACACTGCATCTAAGGATTGAAATTGAATATCTTATATTTAAATGTATAAAACTAAAAGATTCGATTCTCTGGTAAAGATATATTTTTTGTTGTATAAAAATAAGAGTTTGGAGCAGAATTCGGTGATTAATTTAATAATTACGTATGGGAAATACCCAAATTGACTAATTATAAACCTAACATTACATTATTTAAAATTGAACGTAAGCATTACACTGAAGCCTTAAAAGATCTAAGAAATAAAAAAGCAAAAAGGATGCATAGAATCCTTTTCTTATGAAAATCTCTTGTACTTGTATGTTTTTATTTTTTCTCCTTTCTTTCTTTCTGCTTGTTCCTTTGATGCTATTATAAATGTCATTCATATAAATACTGTGATCCTTTATATGTGTATGTTATGTTACGAAATAAAAAGAGAGAGACACGTCTTATATCTTCGACTGTCATCCATTAAAAATACAGATATCGCTCAAATTCATTGCAGCTAATTTACTGTCCTGTCTGTATTGTCGAACAATTCGTATTCAATTGTGTTTTAATGCATCGAGTTGTACATTGTTATTACTAATTTTCATTGCCATTACTGACACCTTATATTTTAACTTAATAACATATGAATGGCTATTTTAAAGTTTGTCAGTGTCAGTGTGGAAATATCGTCCAGTTACTTTTCTCTGCGCTGCTCACAACAAACCAATCACAATCTGTGATTACTGGATAATTAATATTTCATAACATTCAATCATAACACCAGCAAGTCCAGATATGTGCAGTATTCCCATAAAAATGTTCATAATTTAAATTTTTTGTATTGATTGATTGATTGATTTTAAGAATTGCTAAATTTTAAAGATGTTTCTAGATAACCTTCTCCGTGTTTCTTCAATATTGTCTACTTTTGCCCCGTGGACATCTAGAATGTGAAGTTTAATTGGGTTACTAGTATGTACAGTGCATATACATGCATCACAAGGGAATTCTGTAATTTTGAAGAGCATGATCAGCCAAAAAAATACCTTTCCAGTTTTATATAGCCTACTATGACTAAGTCATCTAAATTAACACCATGTAGCCTACTTACTATAGACAGGGGCGGACTTACCCATTAGGCAAATGGGGCCCCCAAAAGCCAAGGGCCCCTAAAATGCTTTTCATAAACGAGATGCGAACGGTTGCTGTTCACGCTGTTTATTATCACGACAACCGTCTGCGTGTCCGAGCTGAACGTGCTTCTTGTGTATCCTGCTTGTAGCAAATGAAAATATCATGCATCTGAGGCTGTATTTAAATATTGAGCAACAGTGCGTATTATATGTTAATTGTTTTGAATGCCGCTTACTCGTTACTACGCAGTTACTTTTTTGGTTGATATAATCATTAGGTGTGTAAATGTATAATTTCCTTTAAATTTGTAGTTAAAATAACTAAAAATGTAGTAGTAGGCTACTTGCTCGTAATTATGCACAATTTAATTTTATTTCTATAGTGAATGCATGTATTAGTATATTGAATGTTCTTGTTTTTTGCGGCCTTTGTTGAATAATTATTTTGTTCTATTCTGTCTGGTCATCCAAATGCAATGTAATGATTTAAATTCATTTCTGTGTGTTCTGTGTTTTCAGTGACTACTCCATTTTTTTGTGTGAAATGTTGTCCAGATCAATAGGTCCAAACCACTGCTGAACCGCCTACACTTTAATTTTGTAACTTTTCTCAGCGCTGCTCAGAATGGACCAATCAGAAACGTTTGTGATTACTGGATACATTTTTTTTTTTTCTGTGGCTGTTAAAGTGTCTCAGTGTCATGCACCGGGTTTCTGTCCAGTCCCAGCAGCATCAACAAAAACATATGAAAAACACAGAGAGCAGAAAGTGATTAAATTGAGCTCTCGCTTTTCAATACTCAAAGTGGCCCCTGAAAGAATAACACTTTCATCAGCTTTCAGCAAACTAAAAAAGGTTTAGCAACATTTGCCTTCTAAAATAATGCAACATTGCTTCCTGCTGAAAATTACTTTTCTCTGCGCTGCTCACAACAAACCAATCACAATCTGTGATTACTGGATAATTAATATTTCATAACATTCAATCATAACACCAGCAAGTCCAGATATGTGCAGTATTCCCATAAAAATGTTCATAATTTAAATTTTTTGTATTGATTGATTGATTGATTTTAAGAATTGCTAAATTTTAAAGATGTTTCTAGATAACCTTCTCCGTGTTTCTTCAATATTGTCTACTTTTGCCCCGTGGACATCTAGAATGTGAAGTTTAATTGGGTTACTAGTATGTACAGTGCATATACATGCATCACAAGGGAATTCTGTAATTTTGAAGAGCATGATCAGCCAAAAAAATACCTTTCCAGTTTTATATAGCCTACTATGACTAAGTCATCTAAATTAACACCATGTAGCCTACTTACTATAGACAGGGGCGGACTTACCCATTAGGCAAATGGGGCCCCCAAAAGCCAAGGGCCCCTAAAATGCTTTTCATAAACGAGATGCGAACGGTTGCTGTTCACGCTGTTTATTATCACGACAACCGTCTGCGTGTCCGAGCTGAACGTGCTTCTTGTGTATCCTGCTTGTAGCAAATGAAAATATCATGCATCTGAGGCTGTATTTAAATATTGAGCAATAGTGCGTATTATATGTTAATTGTTTTGAATGCCGCTTACTCGTTACTACGCAGTTACTTTTTTGGTTGATATAATCATTAGGTGTGTAAATGTATAATTTCCTTTAAATTTGTAGTTAAAATAACTAAAAATGTAGTAGTAGGCTACTTGCTCGTAATTATGCACAATTTAATTTTATTTCTATAGTGAATGCATGTATTAGTATATTGAATGTTCTTGTTTTTTGCGGCCTTTGTTGAATAATTATTTTGTTCTATTCTGTCTGGTCATCCAAATGCAATGTAATGATTTAAATTCATTTCTGTGTGTTCTGTGT